CCTCCCCCGCTGCCTTTCCAGCGCCCTCCAGGGGAGGAATTATCCCTAAAATCCAACCTGAAGCTCCTCCAAGGAAAAATTCCCAACGTTTTTTGGGAATTCCTGAAGCAGCCGGGCTGACATTGCCACCGTGTGGGGACAGGGCGGCAGCGCCGGGGAGAGGCAAAGTCCCAAATTCGGATTATTTTAGGATAAAATAACCCCGGGATGGGATTTTATGGGTTTTTATGTCCTTTGAACAAGAACAGATGGGCTTTTCCACAGCATTCCCATATTTTTGGCCCAAAAGAGGAATTTTTCCACAGGATTCCCATATTTTCTCCCTAAAAAGGGACACCTTTTCCCAGGATTCCCATCTTTCCCCCCAAAAGTAAAGGAGGGGCCTTTCCATAGGATTTCCAGGTTTTTCCCCAAAAAAGAGGGATCTTCCCACAGGATTCCCCTGTTCCACCCCAAAAGAAAAATGGGGAATTCAGACAAATCCAGGAATTTTGGGATGACTCTCCGCTCCCTGAGCATTCCCAGGCAGAGCCACTCTCTTTTCTTTTTGTCCCCAATCCGTCGGGTTTTGGGATCAAAACCTTTCCAAAGCTTCCCATCCCAAGGGAAGCCGCGATCCTTTTAGGGCCCAGTCTCTCCAAATGGGATTTTGCCTTTTTTATCCCCAAAAATCCCATTCTGGACAACAAAACCCCTCCCCCTCCCTTCCCGCTCTTCCTGCTCTTCCCAAATTCCCCAAAACTCCAACTTTGCATTTCTGAGCGCTCCGGGGTGGGGCCGGGGTCGCTTTGGGGTCAGCGGGGTCACCGCGGGTCACCGAGCAGCTGCTCCGGCTCCCAATCCCCTGGAAAATCCCGGGAATTCGGGAGAATCCATTCACATCCTGAACGAACTCCTCAATCACCGGAAATACTTGGGAAAAGGTAAAAAACCCACAAAAAACGGGACTTCCCCCACCCTTTTAGGGCTGGGAAACCCCAAATTTGCTGTTGTTTCCAAATGTTCCAAGGGGGTTTTAAATTTATTTTTTAATTTATCCCAAATATTTTTATTTTGTCCCAAACCTTTCTATTTTACCAAAATTTTTTTGGGGATAATTTTTCTTTGCTTCTCAAAAGGAAAGAGAGTGGATAAAACCATTCCCTGCAATGGGAATGATTCATGTGGGATGGGATTAATTAATTTCCAATCCCATTTTTGGGGGTTTTCCTGGCAAATCCTCGCATCCTCTAGGATTTCTGCTGCTCCGGGAATTCCCACACCTTCGTTTTTCCATGTTTTGGGGCTGATTCCCGTTTTCCACACGGATCCTGCTTTCCCTGCTCCCTGTGGGAATGGTGGATTTGGGGCATTCGTGGGGTCAAAGAAAATTCTCACCCCCACGCAGACCCAAAGTCTCTTCTCCCTAAATCTTTTTGGGATTCATTCCCAGTTTCATGTCCTGGCACCAGGCCCAGCAAGAAAGGAGGGAAAATCCCGTGGGAATTCCCAGCTGGAGCCTGCGGGATCTGCAGGAGGGGGAGTGGAGATGATCCACCCATCCCATGGATCCCATCCCATCCCATGGATCCCATCCCATCCCATCCCATCCATCCCATCCCATCCCATCCCATCCCATCCCATCCCATCCCATCCCATCCCACCCCACCCCATGGATCCAATCCCAAATCCCACAGAACCCCCAGATCTTCCTCCTCCTCCTCCTCCTCGTGTTCCTGCACCCCTGGAATGATTTTTTGGGAATTGTCCCACCTGGGAATTCTCCCCCTTTTTAACCCAAATCCCCATTCCCCTCTCCGGGGTGGGAAGAGAATCCTGCACCCGCCGCACCCCCGGATTTGGGGCAATCTCCATGAATTTCCTCTTTCCCAGGATCCAAATGGCCGAGGGGGGAATTTCCCAGGTGAGGATTATCCCGGGAATATTTCAGTTTTCCTGTGGCCTGGGAGAGTTGGGGATTCCCCATGGGATTGGGCTGGGGTGGGAATGTGGGAATACAGAAATGCATCAATATATATACAAATAAATATATATAAAAATTAATTAATGTACAAAAGCATACATTTATCTATAAAATAAACTACATATAAATACATAAATATAAAATATAAATATTAAAATAAACAAAAATAAATGACACCAATTTAATATAAAGATATATAAACTTCTAGATATATAAATATATAAACAAATATACAAATACAGAAGTGCAGAAATACCCAGATGCACACACCAATAAATACACAATTAAACGCATTAATAAACACAAATACTTGGATATTCCAATATTTGAATATTGAGATATTCAAATATTCAGATATTCAAACGTTTGGATATTTGGATATTCAGACATTCGGCCATTTAGATATTCCAAAATTCAGATATTTGGATATTCAGATATTGGGATATGAAGACATTTGGATAATCCAATATTCCAATATTGGGATATTGGGATATTCAGATATTCGGATATTCCCATTTTCAGATATTCCCATATTCATATTTTGGGATATTCCAATCCAGACACTTCCAGATTTTCTGGCCACACTCATTCCCCAAAAAAATCCTCCCCAGGGATCCCTCGGTGGGATCTTGGAACATCCCAATCCTTGGCTGCTTCCATCTCCAGGCCTGAAAAACCCCTAATTGAGTAAAAAAACCCTAAATGAGTAAAAAACCCTAAAAGAGTAAAAAAACCCCAGCCAAGAGTGAGCCGTGCATTGATAACGGGAGGTGAAGGGGACACGGAGAGGACCTGGGGCAGGAACGCCGGGAATTTGAGATAAAATGAGATTATTTGGGGTAAAAACCAGTTTATTTGGGATAAAACTGAGTTTATTTGGGATGAAGCCGAGTTTATTTGGAATTGAAACGAGTTTATTTGGGATGAAAATGAGTTTATTGAGGAAGCACCTCCCGCCTGTGCCCTGCCCACTGCTGTAGAAATAGAATACATAAATTAAAAATAAATCTATTTATAAATAGAAAGCATTTCCATGGCCCGAACCGCGTCCCTACAGACACATCCCACGTGGAATCCCGAGTGGAATTTCGCCCTTTCCCCAAAAAATCCCCTCCTGGCGCTCCCAGATTTCCTGGGAAATGACGTCTCCACTCGTCCCCCAGCCCCCTTCCGCCCGGGGGGCTCCGGCTGCTCCCCCAGATTCCCCTCGGGAGTTTGGGGAGAATTCCCTGGGATTTGGGGTTTTCCCGGAGCCTTTCGGGATCCCCCGGGAGGGGCAGAATTCCCGAATTTTCCTCCCCGCCCCGCTCCTCCCTCCCGGCCGAGCTCAGCCCAAAGGTAAAATGGCTCTGGCTCGGTGTGGAAAAGGGAATTTAACCCCAGGATTCCCAGAAAAGCTCCAGCGCCGCTGAAAATTTCGGGAATTTTTCATTTTGGTGGCCCCCGAACCCCTTTTCCCCAACAAAGAGGGTTTTGGGGTTTTTTGCTGGAAAATTCCCTTCAGGAAATTCTCTCCTGTGCAAAATGTGGGGGGGAAATGTGGGGGATTGGGCTGGAAAATTGGGATTTTTTTGGAGCCGGGGAGCACCCATGGGTGCTGGAAAAAGGGGGAGATCCCACAGGGATCCCTTTGGGATCAGCGGGAAAAGCGATCAGGTGATCCCCGCTGGCGAACTGGAGTTATTTTAAATTTTTTTAAAATTTTTTTTCCTTTTTTACACACTCGCTCAGGAATGCGCTTCCTCCTCCTCCTCCTCCTCCTCTTTTCCTCCTCCTACTCTTTTCCTCCTCCTCCTCTGGGATCGTTGCTAATTTGGGACCTCTCGTGCTCCAACAAATCATTATCATCGAATTTCAGATTAAAATTTAAAAGAAACCCCAAACAACCCCCCCAAAAAACCCCCCCAAAAACCCCAGAAGAAGAAGAAGAAACCCAGATTTTCAAGCAGAGACAAAAAAGGGGCTGGGGAGGGAGTGGAGCCGCCGCTTCCCTGCCCCCAGGAAGGTTTCCCTGGGAACAGTTTCCCCAAAATTCGCCTCCTGAGCAGGAGCTCAGACCCCGCTCCAGCGGCCTCAGGTTCAGAGGGGCGCTTAAAACTGCATTTTTTAATTTTTTTCCCTTTTTTCCCCCTTTTGCAGAGAGGAATCTGCAGCCTGGGGCTGTTGTAGGGTTTTTGTTTGGGTTTCTTTTCGTTTCGGTTTTTCTTTCTTTTTTTTTTTTTTTTTTTTTTTTTTTTTTTTTTTGGGAAAGCACTGCGGGAGAGTTGCTAAACACCGAAGGAACCTTGGGATTTAAAGTTGGAAATAAAGTTTAGCAGCTCCGAGGCGTGCGAGAGAATTTCCTTTTCCCCCCTCTATTATTTTCCTTTAAAAAAAATTCTTTCCCCCTCCCTATTTTTATTTTTTCTTCTTTTTTCCCTTTTTTGGAGCGGTATTTTCCCCATTTTTTCTTTTCCTTTTTTCTTTTCTTTTTTTCCTTTCCTTTCTTTTTCTTTTTTTATTTTCCTTTTTTTATTTTTCATTTTTCATTTCCTTTTTTCTTTCCATTTTTTTCTTTTTTTTTCCCTTTTTATTTTCTTTTTTTTCTTTATAGTTTTTTTTTTTTCCTTTTAACAAAGAATTCGAACGGAAAAAAAAGACAAGAAGTGAATAAAGACGATGTGCGAGTAAAAAAAAAAGGGGAAAAAAAGAAGAATACAACTCTCTCATAACTCTCTTTTTCTCCACTGCTGTTACTGTGGACGCCAGCTAATAAATACAATTAATTAGGAATTAATTAATAAGCTGCAGGATGAATTGTGGCCGAGGCGATGACTTCGAGCAAGCCGCCTAGAAGGAACATTTTTCACGCTTTATTAAAAATATTCCTCCACACACCCATCCCAGAGGAATCCACATTTGGGAAGGCGCAGCGACCTCTTCAACCAACCCAAAAAACCATCGAAAAATCCATTTAAACCGCGGAAACAAAGCGGAGGCGCCCGCGCTGCCGCGGCCTCGGAACCTCGGTGATTTGGGCTTTTCATCTGGGGTTTTTCCAGGGGGGAAAAGCTCGCGGGGGGGGAGGTCCCATTGTGTGCGGGGGTTTTGGGGAGGGGGCGCGGGGGAAATTCGGGGTTTGGGGACACCCGGTGGAGCCGGGGGCGTTCCCGGGGGTGTCCCCGGAGGGAACGCGGGGCCCCCCCGCGCCTCCCGAGCTTTGTCCGCTCCACTCTCGGTTGATTTACACCGATCCCCCCCCTAAAAAAAAAAGGGGGATTATTTGGGAGGCGGAGGTGGGTGCGGGGCCGGCCCGGGCGATGAGAGATGTTTGACTTCTTGATTTTTTCCTCTTTTTTTCCCTTGCCGGGGAGGGGGCAGACGAGGAGCCGAGCCCCGGAGCAGGAATTGGGAGTTCGGGAGATTGTTGCCAAGCCTCGACCGGAGCGTTTGAAAGCGAGATCGGCTTTTTGGGTTTTTTTTTTTGTTGTTGTTTTTTTCCCTCTTTTCCATTTTTTTTTTCACCTCCCCTCCCCCTCTGGCCCCTCTCCGGAGGGATGTGTGTGATCAGCGAGTGGAAACACCAATGTCCTGATTTTCCTGATTTTCCCTGCCCCTCTTTGAAAGGGACAAAGTAAAAAAAAAAAAAAAAAAAAAAAAAAACAACAACAAAAAAAAAAAACCTCGCAAAAATGTTCCTGACCTGCGAGGGGACCCTGGGGATCGTTCCGGCCGCCGCGGACTTCAGCGCTCCGGCCCGGCCGGGCCATTTCCACGCCGGCTACCAACAGATCGAAGGGATCAGCTTGGGCTACTTACAGATCAACGGCACCCAGATGTTCGCGCTGGCCCAGGTGCTCAGCGACCTGTTCAAGGACATCCCCAGGACCACCATCAGCAAGAAGATGGAAACCTTAAAGATCAAGAGCCGCCGCTGCGACCTGGCCGAGCTGCGGACCCTCAAGGCCATCCACTCGGTGCCCACGCGCGCCGTGAAGTGCTCGCTCATCTCCAAGGCGGACCTGGAGGCTCTCTGCACCTCCTGCAAGAGCCTCCGCCGGAGGAAGAGGAGGAGGAAGAGCCGGAGAAGGCAGCAGCTGCTGCTGCCGGGCCCCGGGGAGTTCTTCCCCTGCCCGCGGCCCCCGCCCTGCTGCGCTGCCCCCGGCCGGGCCGTGCCGCCCCCCGGCCCGCAGCAGCTCCAGCCCGCCCGGGGGGGGCTCTTTGGGGGTGTCCCGGCCGGCTCGCCCC